CGATCCCATACGCCCCTTTTCCTGGTTCGGAGCTTTCAAACGACTCTGTGGATCGTTGCGCAAACGACAAACCGGGTCGAAGCTCTCTTTAGAGGATCCTTCGACATCTTGTAAACGTCGACCGTGGATGTTTATGTGAATCGGTATTATTCTCGAATTAAAATAGAAAATTTATGTCTTCCTACACGCGGACACGTTTATTATGAGAATAAAATGCTGAGGAATGGTTTCCTCCGAGAGTCAAAGAATCCATTGTAAAAGGAGCCTCGATCATCCGTGACGATAACGGGATCGTTGTCGATGAACGTGATCCCGTATGTATCATGGACAATGATACATACATACACGTTCTTTCGAGAGCGTATTATATCGGGCGCGTGATCGCGGCAATTAGCCAGTTAATTGGCCGACAGCGTAAATCGAGTTAACATCAACCGGCCGCGAACGGTTTAATTTTCGAGCGAGAGTGTTTGTGTGTCGAAACGGCTGCAAAAGAAATCATTGGTCCGCGACGATTAACGGCGAGAAGTAATTGTTGGTGACGTGAAAATATTTATTTATTTAATATATCATTTTTATTAAGACTGATGATAAGGATACACGGGGATAAGTCTCTATTAGTGTACAAAAGTGTTAATATTGAAATAGTTACGTAAAATGCATAAACGTTCGAAACGAGTCACATATTTTATAAAATTTTGTGAATCGAATTTCTGAAGCTTCATAGATTAATACCAAGACAATCTAAACAAGTACAGTAAGAGTTCGCTGTATCACATATGAAGGATGAGTAACTTAAAAAACACTTACAGAGTTTATTTTAATAGATTGTAAATGGGGTTCATGCTCGTAAGAATCGAATTAAATTAAAAATCGAAGTATTGTTTAACAGTTCCAATGAATATCAGACAAAATTCATCGAGGATGAATTTATATACAGTACTCGATTTTCGAAGATCGTTGCGCTCGAGCAAAAGAGATCTCGAGGATTCAAGAAGGATGCTCGAGAGAAGCCTCGAGGAATCTCGAGCGACAATTAGTGTATCACTTGAACCTAGAACGGAGGGAAAAAGGCAAAAGGGAGTCGAAGACAGGCAACATCTTGCGAACGGCAGCCGATTAGTCATCCGATACAGGTGTGCGTTCTGGCGAGAACCGGAAGTGCCGGTTTATCGACGGGAATCGTGACGCAGGTGATCTCGGTTGTCGACGGCTTCCCCCCTTGGTGTGTCGTTCCTAACTTCCTCCAAATCCTCCTCGTAATCCTTTTTTAAAGCCTTTGAAAATTAAGCTATCGATCGTAGTCTTTCTTCCTCCTCCCCGTCACTTCCGGTTGCTCCGAGGGACAGACGCGATGACATTCGAGACGGTGTTTTCGGAAATTGATTTACCCAGTCAAAATCACTTTCGCAATATCCTTCGTTGGCCAGTTTGAACGAAATCAACAGGCGGGTAAAGTGTTTCGAATACGGGTTCGATTAACCTTTGACTCTCTTTTTTTTTCAACGGAGTTTCATGTGTAATTGGCGGTCCCGATTCTCGAAAATTTTCTCGCGAGTTTGCCCAACAACACGGCCATTATTGAAAATCATTTCCAATTACTACCGATAATAAAAAGTCGGAGCTTGTAATAACGCAATTACCAGGTGTTTACCCCGGCCTGTCTCGATCAATAATCATTCCGAGTTCAAGAGTGCACGACCTCCCGGGGCTATTAAGCACACGCGAGTTCGAGGGCTCGAAAGAGAGGGAGCCAAATTGCATCGGGCCGAACCTCGCCGTTTATTATTCTTCGTTCCCTGCGGTCCACCGCGTCTGTTGGTTGCAACTCTTGTTCGCTATTACTGAAAAATCTTATTTAGTGTATTTCTTGTTAAATGAGCAGACACTTGGCAAACGAATTATTTAGTCTCGTTAACTGTTCACAGACGAAGACCACGATTTTAGACACTACTACTTTCCCCTTGCCTTACAATACTAAATTAATCATTTTCTTCAGTATTTTACTTCGGCATAACACTAGAACTATTAACCAATTAAAAAATTTAAGTACATTCCTGTAACGACGATTCAAACGTTACAACAAATTTGTTCAGATCTCTCGTGAGTTTTAATACAATATAAAATCGAAGAACTTATTTAATTTACAAATTTGTAGATTTGTAAATTTCACAAGTTTTATCGTTAAAGAAAATGAATTACACGAATGTTTAATAAATACGGTTTCAAATGGTCATCGCATGTGTGACTCGATGTTACAAAATGGATTAATCGCGAATTCGGAGGACGAAACTCTCGAGAGAATCTTTCGGCCAGTAAGAGGGGTTGCGTTCTCGAGCCACACAGTTTTAAAAAACGGGTATACATATTTTTCTGACGAGAGATTCGCGATAGAATCGAGTCAGCCGCGACCACGTCGAAAGCTGCACAACACACCGTTCCTCTCTCGGGTTATGGCGTTTCAGGATAGTTACCACCGCACGCCGGGGCCCCAGTTTAATAATCAATAATTTCCCCCGCGGGGCCCCCGGGGCTGCACGTGTGCGGACCGTGCCACGATCGTGCCGTGTGCCTGGACGGGTTAGTTATGACCCGTATCCCCTAACGAGCCGCGTTCCCACTACGGACAATTATTTCGCCGCGGCGTGCGCTCCCCTCGAAAACTCGCCGGCCGGTCTCTATCGTGGTCGTTTTATTTGACAAACAACGCCCGAGGTGTGCACACTTCCTCCCGGGAATATTCGAGCCGTTCGTTGGACCGATTTTCGGAATTTTACGGGGGTGCAGATGATCCTCAATCGGGGAGCCTGTGGGTAATTTCGTTTTTAAAATAATCGACCATCTTTCCTGGTATTCAAACGTTCTACAAAATCTGAAATATACATAAATATTCTGGTATATACAGGACGTCCCACCTAACACGAGCACCTTAAAACCACGACAGAAAAAAGAGTGGAAAGGGGTGGGGCTCTCAATCTCGCCGGGCATAAAAATGAAGGAAGAGACTTCGCGCCTTTATTTTCTCCCTGGGTCCCCTGTTCTCGCCGCGGTGAGAGCAGGTTCATGGTTAATATATATGCAGATTGCAGGTACAAGGAGTGCTCGGATTTTACACGCGGCGGTACCGCTTTTTCGTCCGGTGCACACACACACATACGTCACGCCCCGTAGAACGATGGTGAACTTTTTAAAACAGCAACACCAACATCGGGTCCCCTTAATAAATATCATTTCCCGTCGAGAAACGAGAGACTTTTCCTTCAAAAGATTTTTCCCGTGACCGAGTCCCGTCGGAACTTTCCACCGCGGGAAATTTCAAATTAGTTTCATCGCCCTCTTCCCTCCCCTACGTAGCGCGCAAGTGTACATATAAATGATTCATGGCGTGTCCTGGTTTGCCAGGTCTCTCTTCTCTGCTTAATACGTATGCAGATTAGAGGAGCAACGACGGCGGCCGGCTGTCGTTTGAATTTCCGCACCCTGGATGAGGGTTTATTCACGTGGGCCTACGAGGAGCCGAGACACAGCCACCGCCGTTCCTCACGTTTCGCGAATCTATTGGAGTAGGTACTACCAGGGACTTAAACCGGTATGATTTTGATACCGGTATTATGCCATCAACGCTATACCGGTATTTTTTGTATTTCTATAAGGGTAGGGCTTATATAGGGTTCTATAGGGCAAAGGTACAACCGAAAATACCGTTGTAATATCGGTATTTTACGTTTCGATAGAAGTCCCTGGGTACTACGGTGTGTATGTAGTAGGTGGTGGACGATGATGGGACGTGGAGGCATCTCCGAGTCGCGTGGGAGATGTGCGTCGATGAGAAAATTGATGCGGGGGAGTAGTGATACAGCGCTGCGAGGAATTCGGAAATTTTCTGCTCCGGAGGAAAGATTTTCCGACGTGCGGGACGCGTATGACGCGCGGGGAATTCGTCGCGATGGATCAATTTTGAGCATATAAGGGGGGGGGGGGATTCGACGTTGCAGGAATTTTAAGGGGGATAGAGTTCGTTGTCTATGATACTATACATCGTGGAGGAAATATTAAATTCCAAGTCGCGGAATTGGGAAAATGGGTTGATTATCCGACAGAAACTTGTCGTGAATTCAATCCCTCGTAAAGTTCGTTTCACCTGGAACCGTGTACTACACGCGAGACCATTTTCGCATAAGTGAAACGCGTATTGTTCCACAGAAACAAGTCGGCCATTGTCGCGCGGTATCGTTCCGGTTCAAGGCGTAAGATATATGTATATACGATCCGCCTTGCGTTGTTTCAGTCCTCGCCACCGTGACCGAGCGTACGCCATTAAGTTGGAATTCAGGTGTATTAAACGATGGCCAGCAGCAGGCTACGTATCGAGCGTCGTTGGCCACCCGGTAGCGCTAATGGCACGCCGGAATCGTTCGTTAGGGAGATTTTATTTCGCCTATCTGGCCTCTCCGTACAGCCGTTTATGCTCCCTGTCAGCCGAGTCTCGCCCTCCCTCCGGTGGATCGGCCTTCTTGGAAACGCCTTTGCGATTGCGTTTCCATGTCGCGGCCACGCCGCCGTACGATAAGAGGCGCCTCGATTTTTTATCCTGGGAAGCGTTTTGATTAGATCGAGAGAGAGTTTGCTTATCTTCTCTAACCCGTGTGCAATAAGAAACGGGCAATTATCGAAGAGATGTCGGCGAATTATCGCTCGAGCTACGTTTATCGTATCGCCGCGGTATAATACTGTGGAAAACGGTTCTCTACGTTGTCGAAACCCCCCTCTACATCGATAACCGGACATCTTTTCGATCAACCGCATCGTATATCGAAGACGTAATTGTAGCCTGCGTGTTCTCTGTACAGGGTCGACGATAATCGTTCCTCTCGCTTGGATAGCCAGTTAATTCTACCCCCTTCCCCTCCCCTCCGATGTACAAGATGTTTCTATCTTGTATGAAAACGTTAAACAGGCCGCCCCGGGGATTTAAACCGATCCTGTCTTGCCGGTTTCAGGTGGTTCTGCCACTTCGACGACGATAATTACGTGAACGTGCCACGCCTGCTGAAGCTACTGGACAACTACAATCCACGGGAGGATTGGTACCTGGGCAGACCCTCGATACCCGCGCCTTTGGAGATCATCAGACAGGGACCGGAACCGTCCAAGAGACCGGTGAGTTTTATATACGACGAAATCCTCCTTCCGAAATAAAGGAAACATGTTCGTCTGCGCGCGCGTCGTCCGTCTGTTTGCTAGTTTGTAGACTGCGACTTTGGCTGTTTTTAAACTCCACTTGTGTTTGTGGGAATGTTATAAAAAAATCTGACGACACTGTCCATCAAAGGGTACGTGTGACATTTAGTGGAAAATCATCATAAAAGTATGACGTTGATCGCGAATGCGAACAGATCTTGTTCATCCGACAGAAATATCCTCCGGATTACAATGCAGAAACCTGAAGGGGGTGGTGGGGGCTGGGAGATTGGTGAACGGGTCTCGTGGTCCTGTCAGAAGTACAAAGTCGAGGCTCTCGCGATCAAAAATCGATAAAAGGCCTGTCTTACCAGCGGACTTACGAGATACACGATGCGATTCGGATTCCGCGATATGATCGACCAGGGGATATCGGTCGACAGTGTCATGCTATAAGCCCATTAATCCTTTTTCCTTCGCTACGAAAAAAAGCATCGAACAGTAGAGACGGAGAGAAAAAGAGGGGTAGAGAGGTAAGGAAGACGAGGAATAAAAGGATCAACGTTGTCAGACCGGGCGGGCTTCCAGTCGAGGGGGCACAGGCGGTTTGCCCTCGAAGAAAAAATAATAAAAAAACTTTCTCGAGGCATTTATCATCTGCTTGGACAAATTAATACCGGCTCTGATCCGCTTGTCGCTGCGACAAAGAATTTTTGGGGGTCATCGTTGTCATTCTCTACTGCTTCCTCGTTCCGCCCCTGCGACACGCGTCTCACGATTGCTCGAAGAAATTGAAATGCTCCGTCGATGACTCGACCTATCAGTCTCAGAGTTATAACTGTAATTTTAAATAGTAATAATAGTCAGACAAGTTCTTTATATCGTATTAACGAGGAATAAGTACTTCCCCTACATACCTATAAAGAAATCGTAATGTATTTATGGGACGACATTTCTGATAGGACTCGTTCGGTATCAATCGGTGTCCAGTGCTCGTAATACCATCCCGGTTACGTAAGGTTTACGCGCAAGAGAGATCCAAGACGGGGACACGGAGGTTTTCGCGGTTTTGTTTCGGTTTTATTGGGAGGAACAGATTCGGGGCAGCTCGCGGCGGTCGGCCGTTTCGATGTGAATGGACATTGTTCGCGGTGGAGCCGCGGCATAAAGGAGAGAGGAGGGTCGACTCGGTGCTCCGAAGATGTTTTTCAGTGGTTCTCGAGGACTTGCTCCTCTTCATTCAGGCTTCTTACGATCCGGTCGGACCAGTATCGGGTCGCCCCGTGCCCAACCCCGCCCCATCGAAAGTCGATCGAGAGCTCGACGAAGCCTGGGCCTATCGATAACACACGCGTGCACGGTGCTTGGTAACCCACTTAAGTCCATCGTGATTTGCACCGAGATTACGAACCTTCTGGTTCGGCGATTTTTAGTTTTTTCGTTGTTGTAATAATCTTGTATCGCGAGCATGTACTCTTTGTTGTTTGCCTTCGTTGTTTTGCCACACAGTGGCAATTATATTTATTTTTTATTTTTTTTATTTATTTACCGGTTAATTCCCATTAGAATACAAGAGAAAGAATGCAAAGAAAAGTACAAGAAAAAAAAATGTAAGCATGTTTAAATAAAATGTCTGATTATTTTCGGAGACTCCATTTCCACCGTAATTTCCGAAGAATCAGCAGTCGGGTCAAGCCCTCATCTCGGCGTTAAACGAATCCAAGCAGCAACCTAGACCGTAATAATAGTCGGACGAATCTCATTCCGCCGTGAATGTGTTCCCATTTCGCGATATTCCCTTGCATTCCGACGGAAATCACGGCCACTTTCTGCGAGATCCATCAGAGAGCTGGCTGCTGCTCCATTTCCACTTGAGCCGTGGGTCTCCTCCACCTTTTAATACCCGACTCGAGCTTTACTGCGTGAGACTTGTCATAAATTGAACGTGAAACGTTACGGATCACTAAAGCCTCGAGTACGGATACTGATTAGTAAGGAAGTCTATGAAAATTCGCAATTTACGATAGCAATATCGGAAAACTTAACCGTAGGCAAACATATTCTTTCAAACTTGATAGTCAAACTGAGTCGGTTCTGTCCAAGCCTAATTTTTCTACTGTTTTAAGGTTTTAAAAAATCTGAAAAAAGTCCGGGGTACTTTATTTTTATATTTAGTTTATTAAAACTTTCTTTTTACTTTTACACCCATAGTCTGTTAATCAGTAATTAATCAGCCATCCATCACTAACTTCAGGTACCTTATAGTCTCAAAATTCAATCCTCTAAAGACCCGTTCACACCTTCAAATAATTTGCGCACCCCGACTTGTGCTTTCACGTTTAAACTCAGCATAGTGCCTAAGTCAGTTTTCGTGAATTCTAGAACGGGCCTTAACTCCCAGGCAACTCTTTTCAAATGCCTAAGCTCGCAAGTCTACCTGAAATCCTTAAAATGCTTAAACCCGAAAGATCTCCGCAGTTCGCGATAATTCGTTACGAGTGAAAGGTGGTCGCAACGATTCGCTGGTTTCTGCGTCTCTTCGTGTTGCGTCCTTCGTCGTTGTCGTATCCACCGACGACCCCCCATGGGTGTGGTACCGTCTTCCATCCGAGATTATGGTCCCGGGTATATATGGTGGACGTTGCTCCCCGGGGGCTTCTCGTACTCGTATATTATATTTGCCCGAGAAATACTTCTCTCTGCTCGGGCCGTTGCGCGCTTCCTCGTTCATGTTCCCTCGTTCGAACGTAGGTAGGTACATACACGTATATACACATATACCGGCCATATATATGGGTAAACCCTATAAAACGGAACAACTTTTTTAAAATTGCTCCAAATGACTTGAGTTTTTTTGTGTTAAAGTTGTAAAAAAGAAATTGAAAAAGTTGTAATTGGTCGGAATCGCGAAGGAAATAGTAAAGGTCTTACAAAACTTATGTTAGTTATATATACATACTGAAACCAGAGATAGGCAAGTTCATGATCTAGATAAACAGTTTCGAATAACGAATAAAAGATAAAAAAAGGTATTTCGCCATTTTTAATTATTTACATTATTTCTTAAATCGGTAGACACTTGGCAAACAATTATTCATTATCAATAATTGTTTAAAGGCGACGACGACGATCTTAAATACTGTTGCTTTTCACAATATATTATTCGACTGAAATTGTGCCCAACTCTGACTGAAACTTTCATTGAAATCAAGTTATTTGAACCAATTTGAAAAAAGTTGTTCCGTTTTAAAGGGTGTACCTATACTTTTGTCCGGTAGTGTACACATAACCCGTCTCTCTTTCGTTTTCCTCGTCTCTACTCGGCCGCCATCCTATTTGTTCCATGAGCTTCGTCGGTCCCGGTGCGCTATTCGCGGACCTCGAGGCTCTGCACGTGCATCGCGGGGAATATGTACTACACAGCTCAGGATCGACGATTGAATGAGGTACCTAGGAGGGTGGAGTAGCAGCCCGTGGATCCACGCTGCGCGAGACTCGTTTCCGTGTGGCCTCTTCGCAGCGCAGAAATTGGAAAAACACGACCCCCCTTTACGTCGAGATCCAATTCCTCTCTACGCTGGTAATCATGGATAACAAGATTCACTTCTATCAACTTTAATTCCCCGTTACTATTGGTATTTACCTGACGATCGTGCGATAGAATGTATATATGTAATAGATGTACTGGGATTTTCTGTGCCTAGATATACATAGGTATAGGTATATTGGTTGGTACTGGATAATTAGTCCCTTTGGAATCGACGCTCGCCTGGGATCGAGATTGCTCGTAATTACTCGGACCTTTGTTACTACACAGATGATTAAAATTACTCGTTCTGTATCGACGCGGTTATTCCAGCGGAATTCTTCGTGCCCGTTACATTGTTCGACCCAGAAATCCACGATGGTGTTCAATCATTCACCCTCCCCCTGATCGAACAGTGATTGCGACAATGAGCCTTCGGTGCCTTCGAATCGTAGCACGGTTCGCGCCAGGAAACTCTGCACGCAGTTTTTCTCGTTTGTGTGCTCGCAACGGATAATTAATCCCCCATCGGGAGCGCGCGTGGTCGATTTACATTCTTTCCTCGCTGAATATCGGCGGCGTTTGATCGCGGTGAAAGGCGGTTACCAACCGTGCGGCTGTTAGAAACCATTTGGAAAAATCTCGTAGACGAAACGAGAAAGGTGATCGTTTCACGTGGCCGGTAGCAAGCCCGAATGACGAGGCTACTGCGAGAGAAATAATTTGCTAATCAGCTAATGCTGTGAGCAGAGGAAAGTATCGAACGCCAAGGAAGTTCACTCTATGAGGTTGGAATAATTCAGGAACGCTTGAATTCTGATGGATCACATCCGAAAGGATTGAAACCCCAGGGGTCAGATCTTCGAAATTAAAAATGGTGAAGTAATTATTGTAAATCAAAATTTTTATTTCTCTGGCGTTCAAATTTGTAGAGAGGCAATAATGAAGTTGCGAAAGCACACCCCCGGAACTCTCGGGTCTTGGATATACCTTCTAAGTCGACACAATCCTCTATACGCTGCACCGTAGCAGCAGTCACGGAGTTCAGAAATTCCGGGCAACTACTCCACGTGGAAATCCAAAGCAGTGGTATACACAAGCATCCTGTAAAAAGCCACGTCGTAGTCGGTCGTAACTAGAGAACGAGCACGCCTGTAACAATAGAATGTATAGAACCGTGGAAAGAAATATACAGGAACGTAATTATTAGTTGTTCGCCGGGTCGTTAACCGTCGAGCAATAATCTCGCTCGCGGCTAATGGCGCTGGAATAATTCTCCGAGCGGCGTTCTCTCCCCGACGGGACATACAGGGGTAATCCGCGTGCAAAACCAACGACTTCCAGCGAGAATGGATAATAACACCTCTAAAAACGCAGTAGCGGAAAAGCGTATCCTTCCGCTGGAAATCAGAGGTAACATTTAACTCGGAGTCTTTTCCACGAAGTCGTTACA